CGGACTAGATGGCCTTTGGAGGTCCCTTCTGGCCTGGACCATTCTATGATTCTATGGTGACTCCACCACCTCCCTGGGCAGGCTGTTCCAGGGCCTGACCACTCTTTCAGTAAAGTCATTCCTCCTAATGTCTAATCTGAATCTCCCCTCCGCAGCTTCAGACCATTTCCTCTGGTCCATTTTAAAAACGCTGCGCTTTCACAAATTCCCTAAAGATTCTCATTCCCATTAAGAGAGCTGCTGAGTTACCCAGTAACAGCTCCGGGGAACCAGTAACGATTCATCCCAGAGTTAAGGAACTGGAGGCGTTGACAGGAACCGAGTGACACCTTCAAATGACACCTTCAAACGCCGTTTCTTGCCCGTAATTTTGGGAACTGCAGGTCCGAGCTATGGCAGGGGACTCTCCCCTTCTGGCAGGGCTGGGGATCCCTCTGCTGGTCAAAGACCAAAAGATGCCTTCAGCGAGCAGGGTTTTTCCTGGGTGGGATAAAGTCCTCCCCAAGAAAAACGTCCTTCTCGCATGGGAACCCGCCACCCCAACCGCGGGGCAGCCAGGGCAAAGCACCTGGAAGAAAACAAAAAGCTACAAGAAGTCTTGGCAAAGGAGGGAGGATCTTCAAGGCAAACGTGGGGAGGGGCTGTCCCCCAAAGAGCAGAGCTTCTCCTGGCAGTTGTGAGCATGATGGTGGCTGAAAGAAAAACTTAAATAAAATAGATATTTAAAAAAAGAGCTGAGGGAACTGCACTGAAGGAAACTCCTGTGCAGGAAACGCCTCTGAGTTTCTGATAAAGCCTAATGAAGTTCTCCTGTCTCAGAGAGGGGCAAACGTGGGCTCCCTTCTCCAGAGCTGGTGTCAAACCTGGAGGAGAAGGAGACTTGAGAGCTTCTTGTTCACATCTCTTCCTTCTGCTCTGCCAGCGGCGTGGCCATCGTCTTCTCTACCTGCCCCACTCTTAACTGAGCAAGAACTCCACAAAAAGACCAAGTGACATTCCTTACAGCTGGAAGGAGCAGGGTATTCAAAGGAGCAGTCAATCACCTCCCAGGGGAAGGGAAGCCAACAGCGAGAAGCTGGGCAAGGGCACACGGACATCTTCCAAGAGCTCAGAACCACCAGTGGTTGTTTTGAAAGCCTGGAGCAGTAAGAGCCATGGCACTGACACACTGAGGGGAAAACTAGTTCCTGGTCATCTGCAAAGGGCAGCAGGAGGAAAGGTTCAGCATTCACACTGTTACTGCCTCTGCCTCATCTCTTAGTTAAGAGGGAAAGCACAGTTTGTACAGGAAAAGCCTTCTCTGTCAGAGGTTTTCTGAGAAAAACCTTCTCATCTTCTTGGAGATTCAAAATAACCCATTAATTACACTGGTTTTCTACCCATCTCCCTCCCTTCTGATGGAGAAGCTGAGAGCAGGTCTCTCCATGATGTTCAGTATCACACTGGGGATTACGAGACCGTGTTGGGGACAGGTTTCCCAAAACAAGTGAGCGTTTCTGAAACCCTCCTGTCAACCAAAGACAGGAAACTTTGGATCACCTCAAGCTGCTTTAAGCCACGGTGTGGCTGGGAATCAGAGCGATTGTGCCAGATCCCAGATTTCAATGGGTTCTTACCAATAACTACAAGGAAACACCTCCTTGCTCAGGAGCAGTACGAGAGGCTGGAAGCTCCTGAAGCTCTCGGGGACACCAGGAGGGACACAAAGCCCAGAGAAGGGACAGGACTCCTGCAAGGTGTTGGCACTGATGGCTTCTCCTGCGTCCTCAGCCAAAATGACCTTCAAAAGGGGGGGATGCAAACCGCATGGCGACATCCTATCATGCCAACACCACGCTGGCCACACAGCACACTCTGCACGGACAAACCACAGCAAACCAGGGTGGCATTTGGGGCACGGAGGTTGCAGAGCAGTGAGAGCCATGGTGTGGCTGTCTCTGAACACACCAACCACGTTCTCTTAATAGTGTCAGGGATACGTCAGGAAAAATCAGTATCTGGGGAAGGTGAAGGGCACAGACTCTTTATCCTGGGGACTCCAGGGGGGACACGTTACTCAGACCCACTGCATTTCGTGTTTGAGATGGTAAGTCACCTGCTGGACACTCCAGACAGAGCTTAACCTCAAAGAATTACTGATTTTTGGGAAAAAAAAAACAACAACCAAAGGACAATGAAAGGATGAGTCAGAAAACACAGGGGAAGAAACACAAAGGCTGCTGGCTGAAAACAAAGCATTTCTTAAACAAGCTTCCAGGGGACTTTTAAAGGGCCTCTCAAATCGCTCTGTGACACCAGAGCTCCCAGTATGAGAAACACCACAACAGTGGGGAAAAAGGGAAGGTGAGAGATGGCAGGGGGAGAAGTCACTGCTGCTGTGCCCCAGGGAGGGCTCAGGGCAGGGGGGCCTGGTGTCACTGCCCCAACCTGTCCCCTCCTGCACCAGCCCCCCGGGGAGACGCAGCCCCACAGCCCCCCAAGTCATCACAGCCAACTGGTGACTAACTCCCAGCCAGTCTTCCCAAAAAATCTCTCATAAATTAAATCCCCACACCAATCCTGCCTTTTAAATTACAGCTTGGGGCAGTCCTCTCCCCAGCAGCTCCTGCAAGAGTGTCATAAAATTAAACTAATTCCCTATCCACTCTAAATCCTCATCCCCATCCCAAACTGGGAAAGCCCAGAACTGGACACGTTCAGGTAAGTGTTTCTATCAGACCACACCAGCTACACACACTCACGGGCTGCCAAAAACTGCTCGGGGGGGCTACATGGACCCATGGGAAGTGTAAGCAGCCAAAATTAAACGTTATAATTCTAAAAAAATATATATTTAGTCATTTATAATTCTGTATTTTGATTAATACTGGGGAAGAAAGGGCCCCTGCTGTGTTTAGCACCCAAAAGTGTGTATTTCTTTAGAGCTGCTTTATCCCAGCTGTGCACAGCTGCCCACATCTGTGAGTTCAGAGTGGATTGATCTCAGCCTTCCTCCTAAGAAGGGGCTGGGTGATTATTTCAGGGAGACACAGCCCCCCAGGTCATCACAGCCAACTGGTGACTAACTCCCAGCCAGTCTTCCCAAAAAATCTCTCATAAATTAAATCCCCACACCAATCCTGCCTTTTAAATTACAGCTTGGGGCAGTCCTCTCCCCGGCAGCTCCTGCAAGAGTGTCATAAAATTAAACTAATTCCCTATCCACTCTAAATCCTCATCCCCATCCCAAACTGGGAAAGCCCAGAACTGGACACGTTCAGGTAAGTGTTTCTATCAGACCACACCAGCTACACACACTCACGGGCTGCCAAAAACTGCTGGGGGGGCTACATGGACCCATGGGAAGTGTAAGCAGCCAAAATTAAACGTTATAATTCTAAAAAAATATATATTTAGTCATTTATAATTCTGTATTTTGATTAATACTGGGGAAGAAAGGGCCCCTGCTGTGTTTAGCACCCAAAAGTGTGTATTTCTTTAGAGCTGCTTTATCCCAGCTGTGCACAGCTGCCCACATCTGTGAGTTCAGAGTGGATTGATCTCAGCCTTCCTCCTAAGAAGGGGCTGGGTGATTATTTCAGGTACTTGCTATTGCCCAGACATTTCACAAGGCCACTTTACAACACCAGAAAAGACCGAGTTTGACAACCACCCCCCCTGTTTCACAGCTACGAGCTTTCCTGGGGCCGGATAAGCCGGAGCTGAACACACAGCATCAGCCCCAAAAATGAGCCACTGAGAGTGACAAAGTGACACCCACACCTCACACAGCACCACACCGCCCGTTTCCTGATGGCAAGTCAGAGTGAATGCCAACTCCTTGTGTCGTGGTGTAACCCTGAAATCAGAGGTACCTTGGGGACCCCCCCCAGGCTGTCGGCCCCCACGTAACACAGCGTGGGACGTGGTGCCAAACCTGACTGCTCCCCTTGCCCTTCTCCCAAACAACACCTTTGGGTGTTCCCATCTGTCCTTTCCTTTTTAGATATTTAGAAAGGCTCCTTGTTCTCTTCATCACAAACTACGGGTATCGCTCCCAAACCAAACAGGAGTCACCCTCAATCTTTTTATAAGCAAAGACAATGCTTGTTTAACGCTGGGCTTGCAGCATTAGAACTTATTTTGTAAGTTCTATTTATAGAACTATATATATAACTATATATAGAACTTATATTTATATATCTATAAACTTATTTTATAGAACTTAAAATATATTTTATAATTTCCTTATTTTATAAGGAAACTACGACTACCCTTAAGACCATCTTCCACTACAGGTGAAAGAGAAACTTTAAAAAATTAAATGACCTTTTACAGATTTTAGGGTGAAACCCAATAAATGCAGAGTTACTCTAGAGGAGCGTTTTCTTGCCACATTTCCCAGCACGAAGCCAGCACCGAGGGAACAGGGGGACAAGGAGAGGAATATTCTCTTACTGTTATTAACGTGGGGAAGACCCACGTTATCACTCTGGGGCACAGCCCGTTCCTGTGACCGGTACCTCCCTTTCTACCCAGAGTTTGTTCTCAAACAGATTAACCTTTCCCTGATGCAGTTTTTGTTTTTTTAAGATTCATTCATCTCTTTGCCTGCAGGGGCAACAGACTCCTTCTGGTGCCAGGTGTGGAACCTGCTGAGTCTTCAGCATTAATTTATTGTAGCCATTTAACTGTCAGCGTAAGGACTGTACAGCTGCATAAATAAAGCTAAAACCCTTCCAATTTTATTAAAGCTCTGAACAAGGAAAGATGGTAAATCTAAACTTGATCTTGAAAAATCAGATTTATGACTATTCCACGCTAACCTTTAGCCAGAATCAAATTTATCACACGTGCATGTAATAAACATGATAAATATAGTGTTTGCCAAGCGTGTATATGCCCAAAAACCTGCTCTGATAATCCAAAAGTTCTGTTAAATCCAGACAGATACGTGACAGAACCAAAGCAAAGTGATTTTTTGAACAACTACTAAATTATCTGGTGCAGATGCAATGAACAACCTATCTCGTGTGTTTATGAGCCCTGGAAACGAACGCTTCAGGGAGTTCAGATGAGTGTTGCTTTATTATTTAATATTTATTTTATTCTATGGAAGAGCTCGGGGCCAGCTAGAGGCTCTTCCAACAGATGCAGCTTGTAGAAAGTAACGTATCTTATCAAAATTAAGAAGGCCTCTCCCGTGCACTAATGAGCTTTTGATAAAGCTCATCATTGATGGGGAGTGTTCAAAAGCAACCTCTCCAAATCCTCAGCTGAAAGCTCAGATAACGCTGCTTGTTGTGGTTAAAAGAATAAACGATTCTAAGCTCAGTAAATTATTATTGAAAACTTAACGGGTGTTTTAAAAACCATTTGAGAAGGAGCCCCACGTATCAGTTTTGTTCAAGGAAAACAAGGAATTGGCGCCGAGACCGAGATCTGGGTGAGAACAGCCGGTAGTTTTGAAACAGCTGGAAATGTTATCCTTAATTTGGAGAGAGAACAAGGAGGAAATGCAGGAACCTCCCTGGTGAGGAGCTGGACTGTGAGACACAAGCACGTCACGCAGGTGCCACAACTCCTGCTGTGCTGCTGCTTCTGCAAAAGCCAGGACCCCTCCCCGGTGGGAGAATGTCACCTCCCCACAGCGAGGTGTCCCAAGGGACGGCGGAGCAGGAGGACACCGTGCTGGGACACCACAGCTCTTACCCAGGTTTAAACTGGAAGATGATCCGTGTGAAGACAAGGAGGGCGGTGGAGTCTGGGAGTGGCCGGGTCCTTGGCTGGGCAGAGGCATCCCCACGGGGCCGGGAGAGGAGGAGAAGCCCAGGCCGTTATAAAAACTGTGTCCTATCGGCGTCAAACTGCTGGACGTCCTCTTGTAGAGGTCACTGCTCCCCGTGAGGGAGTCTCGGCGCGAGCCGCTGCCCGTGTTGGAGTTGGCAACTGGAAGGAGGAAGAGAGGAAAAGCCCGTCAGGTCAATGAGCTGCTGGGGGAAGTGGCCAAAGGGGCAGGATGTGGGCACCTGGGGACAGCTCGTGGCACCAGCTCCTGCTGTCCTGAGGGTGCTCAGTGAAACACATTCATTAAAAACTAAGCACAGATTCTAACACAGAATCACAGAATGATACAGGGTTGGAAGGGACCTCTGGAGATCATCTCCTCCAACCCCCTGCCAGAGCAGGGCCACCCAGAGCAGGTCCCACAGGAACGTGTCCAGGTGGGTTTGAATGTCTCCAGAGAAGGAGGCTCCACCACCTCCCTGGGCAGCCTCTGCCAGGGCTCTGCCACCCTCACAGCAAAGAAGTTCCTCCTCATGTTTAGATGGAACCTCCTATATTCAAGTTTGTGCCCATTTCCTCTTGTCCTGTCCCTGGGCACCACTGAAAAAAGCCTGGCCCCATCCTCCTGACACCCACCCTTGAAGTATTTATAGGCGTTGATCAGATCCCCCCTCAGTCTTCTCTTCTCCAGATTAAAAAGACCCAAGTCCCTCAGCCTTTTCTCATAAAAGAGATGCTCCAGGCCCCTCATCATCTTTGTAGCCTCTGCTGTCCCCTCTCCAGCAGTTCCCTGTCCTGGAACTGGGGAGCCCAGAACTGGACCCAGAGCTCCAGATGAAGCCTCCCCAGTGCAGAGCAGAGGGGCAGGATGACCTCCCTCCACCTGATGGTCACACTCTTCTTGATGCCCCCTTCTTGGCCACAAGGGCCCATTGCTGGCTCATGGGCACCCTGTTGTCCACCAGGACTCCCAGGTCTTCCTCCTCAGAGCTGCTCTCCAGCAAGTCAGCCCCAACCTGTCCTGGTGCAGGGGGTTATTCCTCATCATCTTTGTAGCCCTAATCCTCAATTTAAAAAACTACCTTGAATCCTGTCTTTGCATTGGTAGTTTTGTAGCATCTATACCAACAGAACACACCAAGAAAAATGCTCCAAAACTCCATGAGCAGAAAAATCGAGAAGAAAAGAATCCACCTGAAGGAAGCAGCAGAAGGAAACGACGGCGAGTGTTGGCTTTTGGGGTACAAACACTTAACACTTTGCTTGTGAACCCTCAGAAGAAGGTCTGTGTACTTCAAAGCTCTTTCTCCCTCAACACATGACTTAGTTTAACAGAAGGTATTAGCTGGCCCTACAAGCAATGCCTATTTATTCTGCTGCCATTAGGGCTAAAACAAATCCAACACGAGATTTGATCTATTCGTGTTGACTCAAGAGCACGAACGGCTTCGCGTCCATTTACTCGAAAGCCTTGTGCTCACCTTTCATTATATTGGAAAACAGCTTCTGTTTGCACCAAGCTTTATTGAGGTGGAAATCAGAATTCAATTTAACACGTAAACCCAACACTGTTTTGAAGAGCTGTCTCGACAGTCGAATACAAACTCTTTAAATGCACTGTCAACTTGAGGAGAAAAAAAAAATCAATTTTGCATTAAAATCTTGTTTAATAAATAGTGAAAATGTTCATTGTAATGAACTAATCATTTTTCATGCCTGCGCACAAGTTCTATTCAAAAATGCCTCACATTTTTATTCATTGATTGAGGGAAAACAAGTTTATGCATCTTGGCATCGAGCAAACTAGTAATTCAATGGAATGAGTTAAACAAACCGAAGAGAAAGAAGTGAATGTTGTGTTTACCTGAATCCAAGAGGGTTCAAATTCTCAGGCTGGGTTTAAGAAAAATATTTAGGATAATTTTTATTTAAAGCTGTGATTTGAAGCAGTGGCAGTACGTCCCTCTGTGTTTTCTGATGGAGCACGTTCAAGGGACACGTTTAAACTTGCCCTTCGCGCTGACGAAAACGAGGAAGTTCAGGACTTAATTACTACCTCGGAGACTAAGCAGTAATTAAAAAAGTTGTTCTACTTCAAAAAAAACAAACCTAAGAAAAAACAAAAAAAACAAGCCAACCCACAGATATCGTTCTGGTTTGGTTTTATTCTGAAAAAAATATCTTTGTCTCCAACTGCCTAAAAACCAAATCAATCCAAACCATGTACGTAGCATTTCTTGCCGCCGCAATAAGTGACTTTTTTGGGTGTATGACAGGAACAATTCCCAGAATAAAGCATGGAAACCACCTCACATCAGTTTGTTGGGGTTTCTTTTGGTTTTTTTGTTGTTTTTGTTTTGTTTTTTTTAAATCACAAAGAGTTACTTAACCATTATTCTGTGGTTAAGAGTTAGCACCAAGATGGGTACCACCGTGGGGCCAATTCCTGTCAGTCCGGTGTCTCCACCAAGCACGTGAAAGAAAAGGCAGGGAAATTCAAAGCTGTTTAAAAACTTAATCTGTAGCAGTGAGGGAATAACTGACAGAGTGGAGAGCACCACGAATTCATTACTTTGCTACTTCCAATACATCATCTGAGAAGTTTCACCAGAAAGTGCTGCAGGGTTTGAAAGCCAAAGCAGTCCTTAAGGAAAACTTCAGCACCAGCTCCAGCTCCAGCAAGGAGCCAACTGGTCCCAGAGCAAGGTCCTGCACCTGGGACAATCCCCAACACAAATCCAGGCCCAGGGGGGGGAATGGCGGGAGAGCAGCCCTGAGGAGAAGGCCTTGGGGGTGTTGGGGGGTGAGAAGCTCCACACGCCCCTCAACGTGCGCTGGAGCCCAGAAACCCCCCCCACCCCGGGCTGCATCCCCAGCCCCGTGGGCAGCAGGGCCAGGGGGGGATTCTGCCCCTCTGCCCCGCTCTGGGGAGACACCCCCAGTGCTGCCTCCAGCTCTGGGGCCACCACCAGCAGAAGGACATGGAGCTGGTGGAGCGGGGCCAGAGGAGGCCCCGGAGATGCTGGGAGGGCTGGAGCCCCTCTGCTGGGACAGAGCAGGAGGAGGAAGGGTTTGACACTGCAAGAGGGGAGACTGAGGTGAGATCTGGGGAAGAAATTCTTTGTTGGTGAGAGCCTGGCCCAGGTTGCCTAGAGAAGCTGTGGTTGCCCCATCCCTGGAGGGGTTCAAGGCCAGGTTGGAGGGGGCTTGGACCAACCTGGTGTGGTGGGAGGTGTCCCTGCCCAGGGCAGGGGGTG